TCATGGCTTTTTCAATGTGAAAAAAAGTACATGAGTTGTTACCTTTATAGTTTTCCGTTCTTTTTAATTCAAAGAATAGATCCTTCACCTTTGTTATTTAAAGAGTCTCTTTTATCAGCCCATGACCAACTCCCTAATATCACAGATCTTTTGATTTTCTGTAATGTTCTTTGTTTCTTTATTTCTTTCCTATTTTACTCATTCTTTGCTTTTTCAAACTTCTTATTGATCCTCAACTCTTCTCAAAGGAAAATCATCTGAAATCTAAAACTTCTAGGTGGCAGAGGCAGCATTTTTAAATCTACAAGAGCAGCACTTTAAATTTTAGAGGTTTTCCTCCTTCTTTCTCAGTAACAGTAAATCTGTTTGATGTCAGTTTTAGACTGCATGGTTTTTAAACTCCAAGGGCTTCATTCATGTAGAAGCATGGGTGAGAACAGAGTGTTCTTAAATCCAATTTCAAAGTATATGAATTGTCATGGACTTAAAGAGCATCAACTAAGTATTATTCCCTTGATGACACAAAATATTTAAGTTGGAAATATGATAATGTGGGAAAATGATAGCACTAGGCATGCATGGGCATACTCTTAGCACTCAATAGGTAGAGAATTTTAAGGCAGCCTTGGCTAGGAGTAAGCTCAAAACCAACCTCGGCTACTTGAGACTTAACCTTAAGCAAACAGCTTATGAAGAATGAAATAGGATTTGAACCTAATGTCAGGAATAGACACCTTCTTTTTCATCTATTGACCAGGGAGGTCACATAGATCCTCAAACAAATACTAATTTGCCTATAGCTCCTATCCAGAACTTGAAATTAAGACCCTATAGCCAAAATACTACATTTGTAAGGAACAGAATAAAAACGGAGAAATCAAACTGGTACTGTACATGAAGCTTCATCTCTATTGACTAGTGGAAGGTGCTAGGAAGTCTCTCAGAGGAAAAAAAAGTAATTGTCAACCTTACCCAGCTGGGAATCCTGTGTACTACAATAACAACTGCCTGAGAAAATAATCCCACTTGTGCAATAGTGGCACAAATACAATGACAGTAACCAATCACATTCTAATTGAATTTAAAGCAGGCTTCTCAAGAGGTTATCAGGCCAGGAACTTGTGGTTAGCCTGATCCCAGTCTATAGGGGAGAAGGTACTATTATTATCTTCCTAAATGGACATAGTATTAAAACAATTATTAATTCTTACTATGCTCATAGTAAATGCATCTCTCAACTCTCTTCTGAGAAGCTTCTTCTTGCAGTAGATGACAACTAGCACAGAGAGTCACAACTTTTCAACATGCAGAAAATAAGAGACTGGAGAATTCTTGACCCTAAATGTTACAGCTATATCATGCTCTCTCCTTCCAAAGCTCAGAGATCATTTAATAAGAGGGGGAGGAATGATTGTAAGAGCCAGAGTTGGTCAATACACACAAAAGAAGCCATGTTTTCCTGACACAAAACAAGGCAATTAGACATATGAACCCACAGCTCTTCTAAGATTGTGAACAAGACCTGCAGCAGCCGAAGCCAGACAAATACTCAGCATGGAGAGTAGAGGGGGTTAAGAAGCTTCAGCCCCAGCTGAGGAAGTATTGGCAACTGATAGCTACTGTGAAAGGCAGAGTCATTTTTTTTAAGGGTTTGATACCTGGTAGGTTAAACAGAACCCAGGGGATGGACCCATACCTAAGAGCATTTGAGGAACACAAATTAGACTTGGTGGGTCTTATCAAATAATAGAGGACATGAGGTAGGGGGGTTAGGGAGGTGGGGTGGATCTGGGAAGGGATAGTTGGCAACTGATAGCCACTGTGAAAGGCAGAGTCATTTTTTTTAAGGGTTTGATACCTGGTAGGTTAAACAGAACCCAGGGGATGGACCCATACCTAAGAGCATTTGAGGAACACAAATTAGACTTGGTGGGTCTTATCAAATAATAGAGG